GCAGATGTGGCCGATACTGAGACATATATAGCCCCCGAACCTAAAGATTCCATATAGCCATCACCACTAATTGCTCAGTCTATCCTTCTCTCTGCATGTGTCTTTGTTCCCTTCACTGCTGCTGCTAATACAGTGGTACCTCGGGTTGCAGACTCTTTAGGTTACGGACTCCGCTAACCCAGAAATAGTACCTCGGGTTAAGAACTTTGCTTCAGGATGAGAACAGAAATGGCACGGCGGGAGGCCCCATTAGCTAAAGTGGTACCTCAGGTTAAGAATGGTTTCAGATTAAAAACAGACCTCCAGAACGAATTAAGTTCTTAACCTGAGGTACCACTGTACAGTGGACGCTCGGGTTGTGAATGTGATCCGTGCGGGATGCACATTCGCAACCCACAGCATTCGCAACCCGTGTCTGCGCACGCGCGGGTTGCAATTCAAAGCTTCTGCACATGAGCAAAACGTGATTCAGTGTTTCTGTGCATGCGTGACCGCCGAAACCCGGAAGTAACCCGTTCCAGTACTTCCGGGTTTCGGCGGTCCGTAAACCGAAAAAATGCAACCTGAAGCGGCTGTAACCCAAGGTAATACAGTACTACAGGTCATAGGCGCCGACTCCATGGGGCTTGAGGGGGCCCGAGCCCCCTCAAAAATTCGTTTGGGGGGGCTCTGCCCCCCCAATAATCTCCGGCGCCCCTCCAGCAGAGCGCCATCGCCGCCCCTCCCCCAGCCCAAAATGCACAGGGAGGGGCGGGCTGCATGCCTCCTGCCCTCCCTCCCGAGCAAAAGCTCCACCCAATTTCCTTTGGAGCTGATTAATAGGCGCAGCACGCTCTCCCCTATTCGCTCACGAGGAGGCGGCGCCACTTTATTTGCATATTCATGAGCTTATTTATTATTCATGAGCTTTCCCGGGCCCCCCCAATATTTTTATAAGTCCGCGTCCCTGCTACAGGTAAAGGTAAAGTGACCCCTGACCATTAGGTCCAGTCATGGCCAACTCTGGGGTTGCGGCGCTCATCTCGCTTTATTGGCCGAGGGAGCCGGCGTACAGCTTCCGGGTCATGTGGCCAGCATGACTAAGCCGTTTCTGGCGAACCAGAGCAGCGCACGGAAACGCCGTTTACCTTCCCGCCGGAGCGGTACCTATTTATCTACTTGCACTTTGACGTGCTTTCGAACTGCTAGGTTGGCAGGAGCAGGGACCGAGCAACGGGAGCTCACCCCGTCGTGGGGATTGGAACCGCCGACCTTCTGATTGGCAAATCCTGGGCTCTGTGGTTTAACCCACAGTGCCACCCGTGTCCCAAATACAGTACTAGCTTAATATAAAACACTTGGAGATAGGATCATAGAACTGCAGAGTTGGGTCATCAACTCCCTGCAATGCAGGAATCTTTTTTGCCCAATGTGTAGCTTGAACCCACAGCCCTGAAATTAAGAGTCTCATGCTCTACCAAGTGAGTTATCAGTCTGGAAGTTAGAATGACAGCTCAGGCCTGTAGCACAAAACAACTAATGCCTAAATACAAAAAAAAAAAGCAAAAGCATTATTTTTAAAATACAGGACTCAATGTTTGCAACGGATGAATTGGTTAAAAACAGAGATGTGTGAGCCAGGAAGTTATATACCAGGGCGCCGAGAAAGCCTCTGCTGAATATGAAACTGGGACAACCGCTATTAATAGGATGTAAAAAAAACACAGAGAGAAACTGGGACAGTGCAGTGAACCATTAACATACTGCCATGACAAAGGTTTAAAAAGTGAGGCAGAAGGTGGGGGGGGGCACCCGAAGTTAAGAGAGCTGGAACGGGAAGCTGACAATTTAATTTACTCAAGTCTTTTTCTCCTAAAAGTTTGTTCTGCTCTGAAAAATAGAGTTTGTGTTCTGGGTCCCGATGTGAGCACCTGAGAACATTTGATCAAGCGTTGCGCCAGAATAATATCAGTCAATGGCCTTGCTGGGGGGAAAGTTTTTCTATAGCACGGGAGAAGTGTGTGAAGGTTTAGGACAGGGCCACGCAAGGCATCCTGAAAACTAAGAGCAGAGAAGGTCCTACTATGCAGCGAGTTGAGACAGCAGTGCCCATGGCAGAGTGGGAGATCCAGATCTGATCGGTCACAGTTCTCAGGGAAGCCATCCTGCCCAATCCTTATGAATAGAAACGGTTAAGAAAATGGGAGGCCTCCCATTCATTTCAGCAAAGTGGATGCAATCAGATTTGACCGCCACCAGGTCTGATAGCTTTATAAAGGGATTTGATGAATGGGAGAGAAAAACAGTCATGGCTTACATTCTGATGGGGCTTGTACAGGAGAACTTCCCAAGGCCGCACTTCATGGCACTGTGCGGTCACAAACCATCTCTAGGTATTGCGCATGCGCAGAAGAAGACGGCACATGGATGCTTCTCCAATGGAGAAGTCTCAGTCTTGCTCTGATACCGTCACAGGTTGGAGCGCATAATCTGCCTACTGTGTGGCTGCAAAGAAGGCTCAATTTGCAGCTTGCATCCTCTGGTAACCATTAGGTCCAGTCGTGACCGACTCTGGGGTTGCGGCGCTCATCTCGCTTTATTGGCCGAGGGAGCTGGCGTACAGCTTCTGGGTCATGTGGCCAGCATGACTAAGCCGCTTCTGGCGAACCAGAGCAGTGCACAGAAACACCGTTTACCTTCCCGCCAGAGCGGTACCTATTTATCTACTTGCACTTTGGCGTGCTTTCGAACGGCTAGGTTGGCAGAAGCAGGGACCGAGCAACGGGAGCTCATCCGTCGCGGGGATTCGAACCGCCAACCTTCTGATCGGCAAGCCCTAGGCTCTGTGGTTTAACCCACAGCGCCACCCGCGTCCCATCAGTATATAAAGCCCTTAACAATTAGGGACCGGTTTACTTGCAAGATTGCCATTTGTGCCCACTCGACTGCTTCAGTCTGCAGAATCGCTGTCTCTTCCGCCCTGAGTGTGATGAAAACATCCCATCGCACCCACTACAAGAGCTGCAGCAGAATTACATACCCTCAGAGGATACAAACTGTTCTCTGTTTCATCTCCGTGTGAGTTGCTGTTCTAGGCATGCCAATCAGCAGGGACACCTAAAGCAAAATAAGGAAGCTTCCTTATCCCGCGTCAGGCTTTTTGTCCATCCAGCCCAGTATTGGCTGCAGCTGATTGGCAGCCGCTCTCCAGGGTCTCGGGGTCTCAGAAGCCTTTGCTATCATGCTCTGAGTCCAGAACAGTGATCCATGCAGCTACATAAGGGATGGTGTGCAATGTATCACTAAAGCTAGTGTTGCTTCAGCAAAATGATTTCTGCTTGTTCAACAGCACCCCTTGTTCTCCCAGGCACCTCCTAAATCTGTTCTGGGTTTACCCCCGCCTCTATGGAGCAGATCTGGAGACAGCGTGTGCAAGTGGAAGGAGGATAGAGGGTGAAAGTCCCATTGCACTTGCACAAGGATTTACTTCAACACTGTCCAAGAGCTGGTCCCCTTTGCCAAGAAGTTCTCCTCTTACATAAGCCTTTTCGGGATGCAAGAGTAAAGTGTGTCACCAGTTTTAATGCAGAAGCTATTAGAAGTTTGTATGGTTATGTGGTGTTCAAGGCCTCCCCTGGCTGTCTTGCCAGACAGCAATTCATCTAAGAAGAAACCTTCACAAAGTTTGAAAAATCCCAGGGAAGAAAAGAAGGGATTGAGCAGTTGATAAATGGCAACCCAGAACCAGCTGAGCCCCTGCTTGCTGTTTGTGGCAGTTCACAAAAAAACCAGCACCACACCCACGTAGGTGGCCCAGAAACCCTAACTCTCTGCTTCCCTTCCACTCCCCACCCCCACCTCTCTGGGTGACCCAGATTCCTGCATGGAACCATTACGTTTGGCTACATAAGTAGAAGGCAAAGAGTCACCGTCCTTTCAGATATAGACAAAAGGAGATGCAATGTTTTGTTACACGACTTGTTACATGCTCTGTGGATGGGTTTAAAAATAAAGAACAGGAGCAAACAGAGGTCGCCGCTCAGCCGAATCCATAAACAAGAGGGTTGTGGAAGCTGTAGGGCTTCCAGAAGAGCAAGGCGAAGATCATTCTGTCTCATCCAAGCGAGAGAAGGAGCAGCTGCAGAATACGTGCTTCGTGTCAGAAAAGAGCATTGCTCCAATGTTTGTTTTCCTCTACCCTCCTCAGCCCTTTTTCCTTTTGTAGCATATCCATTAGATTGTCAGCCTGCAGGCAAGGATTGTTTTATCTGTTAATCTCTTTGCAATCCTTAGAAATTTTAAGTACTTCTTCTTATTCTTCTTCTTATTATTATTATTATGTATGATGTGAGGGCTGTCATTTGAGGCACCCTTAAAGGTTAAGGTAACGTGACCCCTGACCATTAGGTCCAGCCGTGGCCAACTCTGGGGTTGCGGCGCTCATCTCGCTTTATTGGCTGAGGGAGCCGGCGTACAGCTTCCGGGTCATGTGGCCAGCATGACTAAGCTGCTTCTGGCGAACCAGAGCAGCGCACGGAAACGCCGTTTACCTTCCCGCCAGAGCAGTACCTATTTATCTACTTGCACTTTGACGTGCTTTCGAACTGCTAGGTTGGCAGGAGCAGGAACTGAGCAATGGGAGCTCACCCCGTCGTGGGGATTCGAACTGCCGACCTTCTGATCAGCAAGTCCTAGGCTCAGCAAGACCCACAGCGCCACCCGCACCCTTACTCAGGAGTAAATCCCACTGAACAACATGGGACTTGCTTCAGCATAAATGTGGCTGTATAACTGCAATCTTACTGACCTGGGAGTAAATCTGGTTGATACCAATGAGGCTCACTTTCCAGCAGTCTATGTTATTGTCATTTGCATGGGCCATCTTCTACGTAAAATGCCTCGAAGAGACTTGCATTGTAAAAGGCATATACATACAATAATTTAAAACAAACATCCTTTAGGCAGAATGCAACCCTGCCCGGAACAGGGAACTATCCACTGACTGTGCCTCAGGGGCTTACCTGGGTTGAGCTTCAGTTTCTTGGCTCTCATCCAGTCCATTACAGAGGCTAGATGCTGGTCTAACACATCTACTGCCTCACCTGCAGTATAAAGGAGAAGTAGAGCTGTGTGTCATCAGCACATTGACAGCAACGCTCCTGCAAGGGTAAATCCTGTCCCACTAACTGGTTAAAAGCTGGTTTTGGGTGCCATGAAAAGGCAAATTGATGTTAGATTAAATAATATTAATAACACAAATATGTAGTAATATGTTTAATGCCAGAAAATGGAAAGAGCCACTTGCGGGATTTTCCACCTCGGGTACCAGCAGCGCCAATTTCAGGCACGATCGTGCTTGTCTCGCCCCAAACAGATATGACCTTGCCCAAAATTGGACCTGATGGTGCAGGCAGGGCACCTGTAGAGGGCTTCTGCCACCTGAGGCAGCAGCCTCACCCTGCCTAACAGCTGGGCCAGCTCTGCTTGTATGCTTTTGACCTCTCCATACCCAGTACCCATCTCTTTATTCTGAATAAACAGAGTTATGGGAGCTTCACTCAGCTTTGCCTCACACATCAGGCAGGAAATTGGAAGCCAGCCTTAATCCCAGTGACCTCCTGTTCATCATCTACGGATGAAGGGCAGTACACAAATTTAATTAATAATAATAATGATGATTTTGTTGGCATCTGTCTGAGAGACAATGGAGTGCACCTCCGGGGGTGAAATTAAACTGCTGTGTGTGTTAGCACAGCCTGGCACAAGCCTGGGCAGTTTATATGGAAGTCCTGGGCCGCCAATCGCTGATGTGGTCCAAAGGAAAGCAGAACAATATGTTTGACACCAGCTTGGCTGCAGGAATCATAGAATCATAGAGTTGGAAGAGACCACAAGGGCCATCGAGTCCAACCCCCTGCCAAGCAGGAAACACCATCAGAGTTGCTAGAAGGAGGCGTACCAGGCGCCATCCACCTGTCTTAGGAATTGCACTCCAGATTTGTGTAAGGTTTACTACTATTAGCGTTTCTTCTCTTGAAGATATCCTGCAAAGCAGGTTTAGGATTGGAGTTTTCCTTCTCCTAATCACAACCACCTGGGGTGCCAACTTGAATAAAATACTGGGGGGGGGGGCAGGTAAGCCCTGCTCTGCATAATCGATCACAAGATGTGGCGCATGCACACCATTTGAATGGCAATGCCCATCAACTTGGGGGGGGCAGCCCCCTCAAATATTTTATGGGGGGTCGGAATGGTTTTTGCAGAGATTCCCTCCCCCTTTTTCTTTTTCCTTTCTCCTCCTGTGAAGAGGCTGCATCCTAACGTTTTAATGTTGTATTTTAATCTTGTTTTTTAAATTGTATTTTAATCAACTTGTTTTTATTATTGGTTGAGCCCGGTCTTGGCTGGGGAGGGCGGGGTATAAATATAAATATAAATATAAATATAAATATAAATATAAATATAAATATAAATATAAATATAAATGGACCTCAGCCCCTAGGATCTGGCTCTTACGACAACACCACCACAACAACAAGGGAGGTCGCTTAAGGTACCGAGGCGGCCCTTAAATCTGGCGAGGTTGGGGCTTTATTTTTGTAAAACTTCGGCCCGACCTCGAGGGAGGAAGAGAGAGATTAAGCTTTAGCTGCCCTCAATCCTCTCTTCCCTTGATCCACCCGCAGCGAGAGGCGCGACCTCCCCAACTCCGACCAGCTGCGGAGAAGCGCACGTGCGGCGCCCGGAGTCCCATCTGCGAAGCCGCTGCTCCTTGCGTGCAAGCCCAGCCCGGGGAGGACGCGGCCGGGCTGAGCCCTCCGGCTGCTCGGCCTCCCGCTCGGGGCTACCCCGGGCGGGCCGGGGCGGCGGCGGCGGCGCTAATCTCCCCTGGCGCTGCGGGCGCAGATCCGCCCCGGCGGCGCAGGCTTAGCGAGGGGCAGCCATGTGCCCCGAGGGGCGCGGCTCAGCGTGACTCGCTCGCCGCACGTGGGAAAGGGCGATGCGAGGACAGGGGAGGAGCGGGTGGCGGGGGAAGCCAGGAATGGCTGCTCTTAGCTAGGGGGGGGGATGGAGATTGGCGCGATCCCATTCCCATGGACGCGCACCCGGGAGGCTGACACGTGTTAGAAGGCTGAGAGGCCTTGGGGGGGGGAAAGGGGGGGAAACCTGCTTCGAATATATCTTTGATAATCATTTTTATTAGTTCCCAATTACAATCCAATAAAAGCCTCATTATAACAATACCAATTTATAGCAAAGGTGTCAACTGTTTCCCTTTTTTAAGGGAAATTCCCTTATTCCGAATAGGATTCCTCGCAAGAAAAGGGAAAAGTTGACAGCTATGATTTATAATACAATTACTAATACCAATCGTTCAAATACCGAATTATATACAGTGGTACCTCGGGTTACATACGCTTCAGGTTACAGACTCTGCTAACCCAGGAATAGTGCTTCAGGTTAAGAACTTTGCTTCTGGATGAGAACAGAAATCGGGCTCCAGCGGTGCGGCAGCAGCAGGAGGCCCCATTAGCTAAAGTGGTGCTTCAGGTTAAGAACAGTTTCAGGTTAAGAACGGACCTCCGGAACAAATTAAGTACTTAACCTGAAGTACCACTGCACTTTAAATAAGGTTGCCCCACCCCCACCTCGGTTGCTGGAATTGATGGTTTTCTTTATTTCTGCATTCCAAAATCTTACTAATTTCTGTTCCATTCCGGTAATCATAATCCCTTATACAACAACTGCAATATTAATAACTTCTATTGGTGTTGACACTTTAAATGATTTATAAAACTCCTGCTACGACTTGTATCGACAGCTAGAAATTCTATGCTTTGTTTCCCCTATCATAGAATTGCATTTGGAAGGGACCCTGTGGATCATCTAGTCCAACCCCCTGCAGTGCAGGAATTACAGTTGTCCCATAGGGAGGATCAAACCTGCAACATTGGCAATATGGCGCCATGCGCTAACCTACTGAGCTACCCAGCTCCATCACTACATTTCCGTGCTGGAAATGGACAACTGTTGACTGTTCAAAGCATATAACATAGGAGCCAACTCCTAGGGGCCAAGGTGACTTCACCCCACCCCAATAAAATATTTGAGGGGGCTCGCAAAGTTGATTGGGAATTGCCATTCAAATGGTGTGCGCGCGGTGTAATGTGATTATGTGGGGCGGGGATTATTTTATTTAAATTGGCACCCCTGGCTTGTAACGTGTCCCCCTACCCTGGGTATTATGATCAAGTAAAACAATAGAAATACTTAACTAACTGACCAATCATGTCAGTTCTGCCCCCCTAACAAAAGTCTTCCCCCCCCAACAAAAATGATTGACACCCATCTATCTATATAGTTTATTTCATAGTATTTCCCCCCCAATAAACCAGCCCATTTTCTTACACCTGGAACCAATTTCACAATCTCAGTTGAAGAGGCAAATGCAAGATTGCTGTCATCTCCCTTTTCTTGAAGCCCAGTTTTTGACATAACAGGATATAAACCACTAGAGTGGGTGGGGATGTATGGGGCTGTGTGGTTGCAACTGTGCAAAAGCTCTGTTCTGCTTTTTGGTGGGGGAAATCTGCAGAAGGGGCCTTTTCGGTGATGGCTCCATGGTTATGGAATGCTCTCTTTGGGAAGTCACCTGGTGCCCACAATGTTGTCTTTTGGGGGAGGGAAAGTTCTGTTCTTCCAGGCTTTTAAAGATTACTGTATATCAAAGGCCATGTGGCATTATTGATGGTTTTAGTGTATTTGATGGCTGATTCAGTTCTGTGCTGCATTTGCTACCTCAGCATGGTGGCTTTATATTGGGGGTTTTATGCTGGTTGCCTCTTAAATTTACTTTGATTTTATTGTGATCTTTTATTCTGTACAGCACCTAGAAAATTTTATATTATGTGGTGTTTCATAAATTTAATGCATCTATCGATTGAAGCCTGCAATTCCCAGAGGAGGAAGTCCATATTTACAGGAAGTATGTGAGCAGGTAAATACCTCATATGTACTGTGTAGAGATCTTGAGACTGAATCAGATTATTGAAATTTGGACATTCTGTCAATACATTATTAGGTGGCGGCTGGTGGAAACAGGCGTGCTCATATCATTTGCACCACCAAAAAAAACCAACCAAGTAGTTTGTGCTCTGCTGAGGAGCAAATGTCTTGTGAGCAGTTGAAAAACTTTTGCACATCAATCCCACAATAAACACCCATCTGCAAGCACCCAGACAGCCGCAAACTGTTCATTAATACAGTGGTACCTCAGGTTACATACGCTTCAGGTTACATACACTTCAGGTTACAGACTCCGCTAACCCAGAAATCATGCTTCAGGTTAAGAACTTTGCTTCAGGATGAGAACAGAAATTGTGCTCCGAAGGCGTGGCAGCAGCAGGAGGCCTCATTAGCTAAAGTGGTGCTTCAGGTTAAGACAGTTTCAGGTTAAGAACTGACCTCCAGAACAAATTAAGTTCTTAACCCGAGGTACCACTGTATGATGAAAGTGAGACATTTAGGAGATCCATATTAACACCAAAAATCCTACGTAGAAGAAAATCTCACAATTTGTCTCGTATAAGATTTAATAGGCTGCAGGTCTCAGAAGACGAGGAGGATCCCAACATCACATGCAGACAAAACCCAAAAAGCATCGGTAAGGTTCACCTGCTGCAAAGATGCATCCCAAAATATGTATATGCTTAAAAGATATTGCAGCACCTGAGCGCTTAATGGCGAAACAGCAGAGGTTATCTACAGCTTACAAAATGTGTTTTTTTTCCCTAGGCGTCTCTTATATCTCAACTCTCTTACAGTTGCCCACAACTCAGGCAGCTGCTTTCACTCTTGTGCATTTCCCTGCTGTTTCAGAAAACTGCCTGCCCTCCACCATCCATGCGCTCCCCACAATTCAGCCTGCGCAATCTTCCTTTAGGTTGTGCGAAATCCCCTTCCTGGGCCCTCCTACATATAGCTCATTGCTCCCGATTTCCCTGGCGCCATCCTTGTCTCTGCAGTTGTTTCCCTGCTGATAAAAGTTGCCTAAGCAAGCTATTGTGCTTCGGCCATATAACTCGGTTCCCCCTCTCCCCCAGCCCCATAGAACTAATTTGGCAAATGCCCTTTCTTTGTGAGATAACATCTCCCAGAGCAATCAGTGCACCCGGTGTGCCAGACTGTCAGCTGGGCACTGCTGCTGGGAAGCTCACACAGTCCTGTGCTCCAGAACTGTCACTTAAAGGAGAGCCCCTACTGAGTAGCGGAGGGCTTTGTGAAAGCTGCTCCTTTTCTACTTGTTGATGGGGGGGACAACACTCTCTTTTTATTTATGTAAGGCCTGAAGGGCCAGGAACACTGGGTCTGCTTGCTGACTCAAGTCCCATAGGAGCAAAACACAGGAACTGGTCTCTTGACACACACACACACACCCGCCACCGCCTCCCCAGCATCAACAACAACAGAGGCTTTGTCAGAGTTCTTCTTATACACTTTGCCAGCTCGCCCCCTTACACAGGCACGGAGGAGAAAACAGCCTTTGTGCTTTGGTTTATGTAGAAGAAAAAGGTTGAGGTGCATAACGGCAGCAACAGATTTAAGGCGGTGCGAGCGGTTCCCGTGTGCAGGGTGCAAAATAATAATAATCGGGGCCTTTTTTCCAGCAGGAACTTGCCATTCATTGCCACCACTGGTACCTCTTTTTCTAGAAAAATAGCAATAAATAATAATAATAATAATAATAATAATAATAATAATATCATCTACAGTATATTTATATGGGTACTCACTGAGAAGATCCACGGAAAAAGCAACTGTACCAAAAGGAATCATTGTGAAAATAAGAAATATTTATGGGGTGCCAAATTTTGTCCTCTGACTTCACCCCCAAAGGCGCACTCCTCCATAGTCTCTTGAGACAGACAAATGCCAACCAACCCACCCAGGTGCCATATGACCAAAACCTGCCACCGATACAATGGGGAAGGATATCCATTGGGGTTTGACCCACTAGATGACCCAGGATGCTGAATTGAGCCCCACCTGCCAATATGGCCGCCTGTCCCGCCACCAGACCCTCCTCGAGGATTTTGTGAAGAGATCTCAGGGGATTAATATCTGATGGGATTACAGCTAGGAAGGTCAGGGAGGGAGATCGCTTCCGAAGTGCAAGATTCGCCACTAGGACCTCATCATCCACGCTGGCCACAAAATGGAAACCACCTCCGTCGCAGCAAAGCATTCTGGGATGCCAGCAAGCCGCACTGGAAGCTGGTGGCTGGCGTCACAGAAAAGATGGTTACTTACTGTTGTTTGGGGCAAGGAGGCGGCCGAGTTGGGCTGTTCCCACGGGGGCCTGGGCTTTCGACGACATCCGAAGGAGACGGGCATCCGAAGGAGGGCAGGGGTGGCTCACTTGGTGCTGAGGCGGGTCCCGGGCCTGCGGCAGGCCGAACAAGACGGGGCGCAGAATCGTGAAGCGGGGCGGCAGCCTGGGCAAGGGGGAGGAGGAGGAGGGCAGCAGCCGAAGCCCCCCCAGGAAGGGCGAGGGTGGCAGCAGGGGGTCGGGGGCCGGCAGCCGCTGGAGCAGCAGCCCCCCGAGCGGCAGCAGGTGGGAGGTGGGGGGCAGTAGCAGCAGGAAGGGCGGCAGCAGGTGGGGCAGCAAGGAGGCGGGTAGCAAGTGGGGCAGGGTGGCCTGAAGCAGCCGGGGCAGCACATGGGGCAGGGCGGGGGGCAGCAGCCGATGCTACACATGAGCAAGGCGGGCAGGGGAGGGGGCACCCTCCAGGCCAGGAGAAGGTGAAGGGCAGGGCTGGGAGCAACTCACAGTGTCTCTGCACGGCTGCTGCTGGACTCAGGGAAGTGCACCCAGCGAGAAAGCCCCATGGCCGTCCCTGCTCAGGGAGGATTCCAGGACATGCACAAGGCTGGCAGGCCATGGGACGCGGCCAGCGGGGCTATATTTATAGCTCCCTAAGGCCAAGAGCACCCAGCTCCTAAAGCTGCCCTGAGCCAGCACGCGGACTCTCAGCTCGCCAGGCTGCTTAGCATGGGCAAGAGCAGTTGGAGGCCAACAGGAACACCTGTCTCTTTCTCTCCTCTAGATATGGCCAGTACCTGGATGAGGCCAGAGCCGCATGGGGACAGAGGCCCTGTGATTCTTAACAGCTGCTAGAGTTTTTAAGGATAGATGGCCTGTGATTCTTAACACAACAAGGCAGAAATCAACAAATGGGGCTCTTCACACCACGGAGAGTGCATTGGTGGGGCGGCAGGGGGAGCCACGCCAAGGCCTGTCTTCTGTCATTTAGCTTTAATATACAGTGGTACCTCGGGTTCCCTGTAACTTCATTTCTCACAATGAGGGAACCACCAGAAGGCCCTCGGAGCTGGACCTCAGTGTCCAGGCTGAATGATGGAGGTGGTGGAGACTTTTATTGATAAGGTGCTTTGGTAGATAATAGAATTGCATGCATCCAAAGAGTTGAATCTGCTCCTTGGGAGATTAGGGTAGCCAGATGGAGAAGGAGGAGGAGAAAGGCCAGAGATCTTAACAGTTGTGTGGAAGAGGGAATGTCGGCAGATGTAGCGTGTATGACCCAAAGGAGAGTATCACACTGGCTGTTATGTATGGTTTCATTTGTCTGATATACGTATTGGCTCCTATTGAACCAGACAGCTAGACTCAAGTGCATAGTTCTTAAGAATGTAAATAATTTTGCATCCATGGAAATAGGCAGAACTAACAGCTTATCCGTACCTAAGAATAAATCCACTTTTTCCATATTCAATTTGTCCTCCACTTGTCCAAACATGAGAGCAAAAGACTTGTTAAAAAGCTAGAGTTTGCCTGTCCAAATGTTGTGGACATGCCCTGTTCCCGGCCCTATCCTGATTTCCCGGAGAGCTGCTCAGTGGGTGGCTTAAGGAAGTGGCCGGTGGAGGGAGGGCAAAGCTTAGGACATAAATGTTTGAGGGCTCTCACCGTACAGGCAGAGGAGACCACAGAAAGCCTCCTTGCAAGCCAAGCCTTTAAAATCTGAGGCTCGCTTTAAGGAAACTTGAAGACCTTAGCTGTGAATAAATCAAAAGGGTTCTGACTGAGCAAGTTCCAAGCCCTATGGGACCTGACATAAGTGCATTTATGAGATCAAAGCCGCATACATTTATAACTCTGTGAAATAGGTTAGATAAAATGACTGGTGCAAGGTCGCTCAATGAGCTTAATGGCTGAGTGCAGATTTAAACCTGGGTCTTCCTAGTCTTGGCCAGATGTACCACAGCTGCTGCTGCTGCTACTAATAATTATTATTGTTATTATTATTATTATTATTATTATTATTATTATTATTATTACCCTGCCCGTCTGGCTGGGTTTCCCCAGCCACTCTAAGGTGCCCAGTAACTGCATAACACCTAACTATCCTACAGAAGTTAGTGGGGGGATGGTGCTCTACACATGCTCAGAGGCACTCTTTTCTTTACTATTATACTATTGACATGTAGGGTTGAACAAGCCATATATATATATATATATATATATATATATATATGAAGGAAGGCCACAAGAGATCACCTTACACACCCAGTAGATTGTTGCAGTCTGCAGGAGAATTTCTTCTGCAAGTTCCAAAGATCTCAGAAGCTCACTCCACAGTAACTCAGAGCAGGACTTTTAGTGCGGCTGGTCCTGTTCTGTAGAACAGCATTCCTGTCAAGATATGACAGGTGCCTGTCATTTGTGCTTTCCAGAAAGCACTGAAGACATTTTAGTTCCTAGCTGGATAAAGGGGTCCCATAGAATCCTTGAAGTGTAGAGCTGCAAGGGACCACGAGGGTCATCTAGGTCAACCCTCTGCAATGCAAGAACCTTCTTGCCCAACATGGGGCCTGAACCCACAGCGCTGAGACTCAGAGCCGCATCCTCCACCAACTGAGCTTTGTAGGGTTTTAGTTTTGCTTTAAACAGATCTGCTGGGCTTTTTGTGGTATTGACCGTTTTTATTGCACACTGCTTTGAGACGATTGTATAAAAGATCAATCCTAGTTCCTTGTTGGGATGCGGGTGGCGCTGTGGGTTAAACCACAGAGCCTAGGACTTGCCGATCAGAAGGTCAGTGGTTAGAATCCCTGTGACGGGGTGAGCTCCCGTTGCTCAGTCCCTGCTCCTGCCAACCTAGCAATTCGAAAGCACATCAAAGTGCAAGTAGATAAATAGGTACCGCTCTGGCGGGAAGGTAAACGGCATTTCCATGCGCTGCTCTGGTTCGCCAGAAATGGCTTAGTCATGCAGGCCACATGAACCGGAAGCTGTACGCCGGCTCCCTCGGCCAATAAAGCGAGATGAGCGCCGCAACCCCAGAGTTGGTCACGACTGGACCTAATGGTCAGTCCCTTTACCTTTACTGCAAAGACAGGCAATAGAAGATGTTACCAGCAAGTATCTGCAGACATAATCCTGCACATTCCAGGCTCTGGTGACTCGGATGGAGATGAAGGCAACCCATTTCCAAGGAGACAAAATGATATTTCTTCCTCATCCCCACGGCTGGACCTAATGGTCAGGGGTCCCTTTACCTTTTACCTGGTTCCTACCTTGAGATGCCAGGGACTGAATTGGAGGCGGTCTGCAAGCTCTGCACTTGGTCCTGAGCTACCTATGGCCCTTACTGTCTCCCCATGCTCCTCTTGAACTACTTTCTCCCAAGCAACGACTGCATGCACCGTGACAAATTTCCTTTGGAGCACTGTTTCAATGCAAGCCTTTTCTAACACTGCGACAGAGTGTTTTGTATAAAGCCCCCTCCCCTTTCACCTGGGAACTTGAGGCAAAGCGGGTGGGGGCTCCCCTACCAAGGAGACCACAAGATCCAAGACTTGAGCATGCTTGTCATGTCACACACTCCACAGGAGGATTCTAAATATATCTGGGCCACAGTATAAAACTGGGTCAGGCGTGAATGCTGGAGGCTGCTGCAGAAAACAGGCTGTGGTTGTGGAACTGAGCAACCTCACCTAACCCCTTCCTTCCTCGGCTCCGAGTGGCTTCCCAGAGACACAGCAGCACACAATGTGCCTGCGCTGCCTGCGGCTTCCTGAAACCCCTCACTGTGGCTGTTTACGGCTGATTTCTTTAGCCCCAGTTATGCACTACAGGTTGTACAGAATGCAGGAAGGATCTGGCAGCTGCCCAGAAAGTGTAAATACTTCTAGATCAGCAGTAGCCAACGCAGAGTGCCCTCCCAAGTCCTGCCGGCTTCCAGCTCCCATCAGCCCCGGGCAGCATGGTGCATGGCCAGGGATAATGGGAATTATAGTACAGCAACATCTGGGGGGGCCAAAGGTTCCCTGCACCTGCTTTAAATGAGGAAGGCAAACATGGGATAAGGATAAGATAAAACTTTATTTGCATTAGCCAATGGCCATAGCAACAGTACAGTCATACCTCGGGTTGAATGTGCTTTGGGATGTGCGCGTTCTGAGTTGCGCTCTGCGGCAACCCGGAAGTAACGGAGCGCGTTACTTCCGGGTTCCGCCACTTGCGCATGCCTCACTCTCCAATTTCAGGTCCAAAAGCCTAGGTGAATAAAAATGTTTCTACCTGGTGCCTAAAAACAGATAGTGATGGTGCCAGATGTGCTTCCCTGATGGGAGCATCCTACAAATTGGGGAGGGGGACACCACTGAAAAGGCTCTTTCTCAGGTCGCCACCCCCTACATCTTCCTCGCAGGGGGCAAATGGAGAAGGGTCTCCGATTGCAAATCCAGGCTCTGATTTGGTTCATGTGTATTAAAGGTAAAGGTAAAGGTACCCCTGCCTGTACGGGCCAGTCTTGACAGACTCTAGGGTTGTGCGCCCATCTCACTTAAGAGGCCGGGGGCCAGCGCTGTCCGGAGACACTTCCGGGTCACGTGGCCAGCGTGACAAGCTGCATCTGGCGAGCCAGTGCAGCACACGGAAACGCCGTTTACCTTCCCGCCAGTAAGCGGTCCCTATTTATCTACTTGCACCCGGGGGTGCTTTCGAACTGCTAGGTTGGCAGGCGCTGGGACCGAGCAATGGGAGCGCACCCCGCCGCGGGGATTCGAACCGCCGACCTTTCGATCGGCAAGCCCTAGGCGCTGAGGCTTTTACCCACAGTGCCACCCGCGTCCCTTTCATGTGTATTACGATCAGTCAAAGTTCAACAGTTCCCAATCTGCTAGCAGGTCAAGTTCAAGGTGTTGCTATTAGCATATAAAGCCCTTAATAGCTTGGGAGCTGTTTACTTGCTGGATCACCTTATGCCAT